CCTGCTACATCAAAGAAGCTCAAAATCAGCATGATCCAGAGTCCCAGAGCTCCTGTAACACTGAGCTCTCTTAAGGACTCTCAAGACTGAGAAGGTGTAGTCCTTGTCATAGCACCTGGCTTCAGTACAGGCATTACAAGCTAATGACCTCCATGCTGAGGTACAAGTCATCTTAGAGCAGGTAGGATTCAAGAACTGTGGACCTACCAAAGTGAAAAGGGCAGGGAATTCTGCCACATGCTGCAACATGCCATAGCAAGGTGTGTTGAGGACACATATAGAGTATGATATCCTAGATACAAGCAGCTAAGAGTCCACTCACTCGAAGTCTGAAATCTGAAATGATCCAAAATACAATCAAGCTCTGACTTGCATGAAATTGCATACTAACCTCATGATGGGGCACAGCCAAAACTGTGTACAAGGTATAGGTGAAACAAATTATTTTTCTATTTAGACTTGTGTCTCATCCCCAAGATGACACATAATATCAATGCAAATATCCCCAAATGTAAAAAATTCCAAAATACTAAACTCCACCTGTCCCAAACATTTCTGGTAAGGGACACCAACTTATATGAGACTCTTGATGGGATCAAACTGAGAGATAAGCAAGAGAATGGGGCTAAGGGGTGAAGTCTGGCCTTAAAGGGAACAGTTTCTGTTGAGAAGATGGCACAGCCTCTCATGCACTTGGATGGTGATGGCTACATGTGTGAGTACCCGCTGCCACCGGTGTGCTTTGTGTTATGTGCTTAGGATAGTGAGCTTTATGTTACGCATATTTTACCACAATAAAAAACAACAAAGCATTCAATCACATGTTTGTGTGGGCAAACAAAGAGAAAAAGCACACTGCAGGGCCCAGAACTTCTTGTCATTTACAAGCAGTCCTTCAGTCTTGTATCAGTTCCTGCAAGCTCCAGACTGGAGCAAAAAGCAAAGGAGAGGCAGCAGTGGGGTTTCCAGGTTCCTTGCTTGTCCTCTCCTGTTGCTTCAGGCTCCACTGTGTCTGCAGGCCATCATGCCCCTCCCATCAACAAATACTCTGGAAGCTTCCCTTCTTTTTAGGGAAATCTGCCTCCCCTTCCCCACCCCCAACACACACATACTACTTGGGAGTATGGAGACAGAAACTTGCTCCCAAAGGAAAAGAGATTTCCAAAAGTGAATGCCATTTTAGCTCTGCTTGAAAAGGCAGCAGTCAGACCAGGGATCTGTACTGTTTTTTCAGCCAGCCAGAGTCCTAAAGCACCTGGAGCTAGTACCACTACCTTACCTCCTGAGGGCACATTGTAACCATCAGACATTTACCTGTTGCTTCACAGCCCAGCAAAGGGCCAGGAGACATCTTTTCTTCACCATTTCTCAGTTTTCTGGACATCATCATTTCCCCTTTTTGCAGACAGCCATTCAAATTCACCACATTCCTTACACTTCTGGGACCACCCCAGCCCATCTTCTCTCCTGTTCACCAGCTGGTGAGCCCAATTCCACACATCTTTCTATGTCTGGTCCACTGAACCCCATCCAGATAACATGGAAAGAAACAACAAATTATCAAAACCCTAATCACAGCAGAAAACTGTAAGTCTGGCTGGTTAAAAAAAAAAGCATTTAAAAGAAAGGGAAAAGTAGTATAATGTATAACAGGAGAATGGCAATTTGAAACAGATTGTGACTAAGTGTTAAGAGAGGAAACCAGCCATAAAACGCTACAACTTAATGGTGCAGCTAGTCAGCTAGCTGGGAAGGCCAGGCAGGTTACCAGTAAGGGTTGCAGTTTAGCCAGGCATGCTGGGAGGCTCTGAGGCAATCAGAGACTGCTCAAAGATGCTGCTTTTAGATACAGGCACCCAGATGGGGGCACTTCATAAGCACCATGATCCAAAAATGCCATAGTAAATATGGATGTGTTCCCTGAGTGAGTCACATACACAGGCAGCAGAGGTACAGAGGGTCCCACAGAAACCCTCAAGATGAAGAAAGATTGTAAGATACACCCTAGCCTGTCATCTATTATCCCACCCCCCAAAACAGGTAGGTGAGTCCTGTGTCCTGTGCTAATTAATAGCAAATCAAACATTTTAAGTTTAAAAAAAAAAGGTAAGCAAACCACTGGACAAATCATTCAAAGTTTTTTAGCCTGGGCACTACTTTAAGCTGGTTCTTCTTTGTTGTGGGAGATGTCTTTGGCCTCCCACCAGTATATACCAATAACATCACTGCTCTAGTTGTCTCAATGAAATCACACTACTGCCACATAGCTTTGATGCACACTAACCCTACTGAGGATCATGGCTCTTAGAAGAAATAAAAAAGAACACAGAGGAAAACTTCTGCACTGGGGCTCAGCCACATGAGACCAAGCAGGCATCTACTCTGGGTCTCAAAACCCTGCTCACCTAAATGGGCAGAAGACATGGTGGTAGAGAACAACATGTCTTCTTGTCCCAGGAAATGGTCACAAAGGGTAAACCCTGACATGATGCAGACCAGAGGGCATGATGGGTAAGCTCCCCTCACCCTCAGTCCTAGCAAGATGAACCCTCATGTTATGTCCTTCCTAGTTCCTACCCTGACTAATTCCTGATGCCTAGTCTTCACTGTGATGACCTCCTTTGTAGTTTTTATGTGAGCTTCCTAATGCAATGTGGAAAAGCCTTACAAACCCAAAGTGATACTTTAGAAGACATTTCAACATGACTGCCACTGCTGGTTTTGCCACTTCAAAAAGTACTAGCTATGTGCACTACCCTGGTCTGGGCAGAAAAACATTAACTGACTACACGATTAGTCGTTCCAGTTTCAAGGCCATGTGCTTTGGCCGATGCACAAAAACTTTTAGAACTAGATGTCCCTCCAATGTCCTCTCTTTAAGTCTTTTTGTCTTTCATTTCTCATAGTCCTGACAGAGTAACCTCTGCCTTAGCCCACATCCTGTAGGCTGGCCATTTTATTTTATTTTTTCAATTCGACACAAGTTAGAGTCATCTGGGAAGAGGGAACCACAATTTTAAAAAACACGCCTGTCCAACTGACCTATAGGCAAGATGGAGGGAGCATTTTCTTGATTAATGATTAATGGAGAAGGGACCAGCCCATTGTAGGCAGCTAGTCCTGGGTTGTACAAAAGTGCAAATTGGGATCAAGACAGTGAACAGTGTTCCTCACTCATCTCTGCTTCAGTTCCTGTCTCCAGGTTCCTGCCCTGCTTAAGTTTAGCTTCCTTCAATAATGGACTATGATCAGGACCTGTAGCCAAATAAACCCTTTCTTCCCCAAGTTTTTTTTGATCATGGTCTTCAGCAATAGAGATCAGACTAACATATCCAGGTTGCTGGGAGACACTGTGGACCACAATGTGTCAGCACATCTGGTTCAATAATCTTACTGAGAAGTGGCTGTTACAGGAAGCAGCAGTCTGTGCTGGTACCCAGCAGCCACTCTCTTTGTGCTGATGTGACTAAGTCAATGGAATAATAAATTCTTCTAGATTTCAGCTGGATATAAATAAAGAATCCCTGTGCTGATTTTCAGATATTCATGACCTGAGCCCAACAAAAACATAATTCAGTGACCGCTAGAGGTTCCAACACTCTTAACAAGTTATAGAATTTAAGAATGAGGCTTATGAAAGACTAACTCTTACCCCAGAGCTGCTGCCCATTGACAGTTAAGACAGGAGGACACCAAGAGAAGAGTGGAGTTTGTCCTCTATGTCTCCTAAACTGAGAGAAGAGCATCATGAATATCTATCTACCTGTTCCTGGTTTCTAGCTGGGCCACTGTCAGTGCTCACTTCAAATTACTCTGGCTTACAGATGGCTCTTTAGCAATATTCCCTGTGGTTCACTCTTAGGTTCACCAAAAGGAATGACAGGGAGAAAAATCTTAAGCAACCAATGAGATAACAGCTATTGTGGGAGGAGGAGGGGCCCACTAATGATCTCAGAATAAAAGGAGTGAAACACCACATCAGAAAGCATAGGTGGAAAAGGGTGTACTCAACACAATGAGTACTAACGATCATCTCCCAAATCCTAGTGTCCGGACCCTCTGGAAAGTTCCTGGAGAGTTATCTCACTCTCTAGAGTCTCACAGCATCATAGTTAAGAAACCTGCCCTGGGCCGGGCAGTGGTGGCACACACCTTTAATCTCAGGAGGCAGAGACAGGTGGATCTCTGTGCATTCAAGGCTAATCTGATCTATAGAGCAAGTTCTAGGACAGTCAAGGCTACACAGAGAAACCCTGCCCCAAAAACCAAACAAACAAAAAAAGAAACCTGCTCTGGGTACAGCAAGTGGGCCTGTTTGAAACAACATAACTAGACCTTTCCCAGAAGGTCCCAGTCTTCACAGGCACCACAGCATACACCTGTACACACTTGTCCACTCAAATAGTAAAACAAGAGGCATTCAAAGCTCCATTTAGGAGGGAGAAATTTCCTCTAGAGAAAAGGGAGGTGACATGGGTAGAAATAGAGGCAGTCATTCAGTTCTACTTAGCTGGGCTACTTGCCCCACCCATGATGCAGGTAGAAAACCAGGTAATAGAAAAGAAGAAAGAAGTTCATCTGCTCTGATCACAGGACAAGTAGTCCTCAGGTGCCAGCTAAAAAGAAATCTATATCAGATCTAGAGGGATAGTCCTAGGAAGACTGGACAAGTCTGCCTGCCTGTCTCCACACAGGCCTGTAGGAACACCACTTGTGCAAACCCTTGCTGACCCCCAGGACTTTACCCACACTTTCCCCAACCTTGAACAAAAGTGACTTCCTTCTTCACGGCTTCCTCTCACCAACAACAAAAACTTTAAGCACAAGATCTGAGTTTATAGAGTATTTTCTACTCAGTACTGCAAGTCCTTTAAAACATTCCAGACTCCCAAACAGAAGCCTGAGTAGGGCTGCACTCACACGTGATGTGGTCAGTAGTGCCACAGCTGAGGAGACTGGGCAAAAGCAGGGCCAGAGTCAGGAATGCTGAGGACACTTACCATCTCATCCAGGGCGTAGCGCAGGAGGCCATGCTCATACAGGATGAAGAATCGTCGCTGCCACTTCTGCAACAGAGCACAGAATTGGGGGTCAAGTATCCTGGCCCTGGATCTCAGCTGGCAGAACCCCAATATCTGACACACCGAATCTAAGGAATGCTGGCTCTGAGGTTTCTACTTCTGGGGTAGATGGTAGGAGGAGAGAAATCAGAGATGTAAGGATGATGATTCATTAGCCAGGTGGAGTCAGGAAGCAGGCCCCATGAAGTTTTTAAAGTTGGAGCTTTCCTTAGGAGTAGGAACTGTTATGTAGTCACTTTCTATGTTCCTACTAGCAACAAGCATTTTCATAGAATGGTTGCTGATTTGTTAGATGGATGATTTTATGTGATCTAGAATAACCTTAGGATGGAGGACACTGACAGCATCCCTCCCAAGACAGTCTGGGAAATGGTATAAAATGGGTAGGTCTTGTGATTTCCAAGTGACAGGAAGCAGATAGTCACGGTTGAGGAATTCAAGAGTGCTAGAACAAGCTAACACAAATCAAACAAGAAAGAACCCCAACAAAGGCCAGGCCTCCAAAGGTGCCATTGAAAGCTGGAATGAAAAGGATAAATAAACATATCATCTTTCTGTATGAAGGGTCTTGCATACCACATGAGGCTGTGAGTCTACATCATGACCCAGAGACAGGCATGGCTCCCACTCCAACCCCTTGGGTTGATTTCAAAAGAATTCAAGGTTCTATTCTCAATATTTCACAAAGCCCAATAACATGTAAATTTTGACTAGCACTGAAACTACAGAATTATGTATGTCTCTTTGCTTTAGGCCAGAAAATAAATTTTAAAACAATTACTTTCTCATTAGGAGCTGGAAGTGGCAGTTGTGAAGTTTTAGTAGAGACCAAGAAAGGCACTTGACTTCCTGGATACTGCATCCTAGCTGGAACCACTGGCCAACCATGGGGTAAGAATAGGACTCATGGGGCTATGCAGGGAGGATCTGCTAAGGCTGCTTCCAAGCTGGAGTTCCAAAACAGGCTACAGGCACCTGTTTTCCAAAACCACTTCCAAGGTTCCTAGGTGTTATCTTTGAAATCAGAATCCACTCCAGAAGGAAGCCCAAGGACCAGAAACACAATGCCACTAGTTCTGTGGGCCATAGCATGTACTTATGAGGCCCTAAATAGCTGAGGAAGGACAGGCAGAACTCGGGCAATATATAAATACAACTAGGAGAAAGCGTATGGAAAAGACACTCTGATTAGAGCTGAATCCCCAGTAGATTACCCAGGGAATGAGCAAGCCTCTGGTCAGCAAAATACAACTTTATCTTTTTGCTCCAAAAGAGATCTATACCCAGGAGACAAGACATTGTAAGGCTTAGAGAGCACAAGTATCCAAGCCTCAGCCCTTTCTTAGAACTCACAGTGTTAAGTCCATGGTTCAGGAGAGAACTGCCTTGACTCTGAAGGACCTGGGAGCTAGCTTAACATGCTGCAAAGATGTACTTAGCTGCTTTTTTGCCTGTTCTGTTTTGACTGCTTTCAAAGAGTCCAGATGATCCACAATAGGTGACACACACAAGAACAGACTCTGTGTATATGTAAGCAGAACTTTCTGAAACCTCAGAGTTCATGTTAGATCCCTGCTGACTTTGTCACCCAGGTTCCAGTGTTTACCTCCTGTTTCCCTCCCTAATTTCACCAATTTACTCTCAAATGAACCTCTTTCTAGTTCGTCCCACTCTAAGAAATTTCTCAGGTATCCTTCCTTACCCGAGATCGGTGCACTGGGTTGTCAAAGTCAGTGCCATCAGGAGCCAGGAGCAGCCAGCCACCATAAATGGGTTTAGCCTAGAAGAGAAAAAGGATGGAAGGTCATCAGCATCATGGGACCAGAAGATAAGAGGACAGGGCAAGTTGACAAACAGGATGTCATCTCCCACTCCACAACATAAGCTAGTATCTAGGAACAGGTACTTAATTTAAAAGGTTACAGGATTCCCCAGTATGCTTAGGGGAACACAGAACCCAGAGGACATCTGAAAACCCACAAAGCAAAAGAACCCTAAAGATACAAGGCTCCCTCTCTCAAGTTTCTTGCAAATATACAAAGATGGAAAATGGGCCCAGGAATAGTGTAACAACACAGCCCCAAGCCTTGCTCCTGAAGATGTAAAGCAGAGCCTGATAGAGATTTGACACTGGCTAAAGACTCATTAGTGCCTAGGTGCAGCCAAAGGCAAAGAAGGAAACCTCTGGGCTTCAACGTGTCATGGAGCTGTTGAAAAGCAGAATATCAACAGTTCTAACTCAACCTCATGAAGTTTCTGTGATAATGTAGTTAAAAACCAGCACGGAAGGCAGGTGAGATGGTTCATGCCTATAATCTAAGCACTGGGGAGGCTGAGGCAAGAGAATCACCATGAGTTCCAAGTCAGTCTGGGCTGTAGAGTAAGACTATCTCAACAAAACAAAGTACAGGGAGGCAAAATGGTGCAATTGGGAAATGGCCTGGCAGTTTGGAAAAGGTTGAACATATAGCTACTGTGAGCCTCAGCAATTCCATTACTGGGTAATAAGCAAGTGAGAGAACTACACAATGGAAACCTGCCCTGTAGAATTCTAAGAACACTGCTTCCAATTATCCAAAGGTACCACAACTAAAATGCCCACAAACATAAACGGTTGAAAGATCTGTAGTCCACCAACACAATGATTGCACAGCATGACAGAGGCTCTGATGCACACAAAAGACATGTGACCTTCAAGAGCATTGTATAATTGAAGGCAGGCAGACACAAAGGCTACAAACCATAGAATCCCATTCATGTGACCTATCTGGAACAGGCAAATCCACAGACCAGCAGGTAGACTGAAAGTTACCCAGGAGCAAGGGGAAAAGGCACAGGGTTTCTTTGGAAAGTGATAAAAATGTTCTGAGATGCAATACTGGAGATTGCTGCAGAGTACTATGAATATGCTAAAGCTAGAGAACTCTACAACTTAAAAAGGTAAATTTTATGACAAGTGAATTACACCTCAATAAAACTACATAAGAAAAACACCAAGCATGATGTTGGCCTATAAAACCTCAACAAATGTTAGGGATAGCTATACTTTCACTGCCCAAAGCATCTCCCATCAGATCCTGGCAAAAGGAGTACAATGTCCTTATGGGAACACGACATTCTATGGCTCTATACAACTACATCCTGTTGATGAGAATAGGTTTGCAAAGGGACAACTGAGCCAACGCACCTTTTGCCACTTTGGGGTCAGTAACTAGAAAAATCTAAACCCTCTTGCTGCATCCACATGATGATCTCTGAATAAGCCATGGGGAAGGGAGGCTCTTAAGATATTTCTTATTCAACATGCTGCAAACTGGGAGGCCCCATCAGGCCATGCCATTTAGCTATGAAATCTGTGACTCAAGAGAGGGCAATTTGCTTGCTGGAAGGTCATACAGCTTCCACGAAAAGCCAAGAATTCTCCATTTCTTGGCTTCTTCATAAGAGTCCTTAACAATGCCCCCCCAAAAAAAACTATGACTTTTCCCTTGAGGAGAGTGGGTAGGAAGAGATGTGAGTTGGGATAGGGGCAGACTGCTGGAAGAATGACAGAACCTTGATTTGATGAAACACGGGAGTGTTGGCAGAAAGCCCAAGAGCTAAATGGACACTAGCAGTACGCAGCTAGCTGAACATATTCCCCTCTCCTTGTAAACATGAAGAGTGCACACTGTAAATAGACCATCTACAGCATAGGAAAATCAGAGCTGGGGTGAGATGACTCCTGAACCCTGTATATCTTGGCGTCCATCTTGAGTGACACTCACATCTCCTACCTGTGAGGTCTGATCAACAGGCTACCCAGTTCGATTATGTGTCATCTTTTTGGTTTATGGCTGCAGGGCTTTAGGGTGACATTATATTAGGTATATGGCCTTCCCCAAAGGGGACAATGAATACCTTAGCAATTGGTGTAAATAGCCTCAAAACCCAGGATACCTTGGCTCAAGTCCTTACTGGCATTATGATTCATTCAGCAAACTTCTGCCCAGGCCTACTTTGCATGGCTATGCACTGCATGCTAGAAACCTACTAGCACTTTCTGGGCCACAGTCACAGAACCTGCTATCTTTAGTATGCAGCCAGGAAAGCAGAGGGCCAGAGTAAGAACCATAGCTCTGAGGCTGGAGAGATGGCTCAGTGGTTAAGAGCACTGGCTGTTCTTCCAGGGGACTCAGATTCAATTCCCAGCACCCACATGAGAGCTCACAGCTGTCTGTAACTCCAGTTCCTAGGGATCTTCTATAACTCATTCCAAGGGATCTGACACTTTTAACAGACATATATGCAGGTGAAACACCAATGACACCAATGCACATTAAAAAAATAAAATAAAACAAAAAAGAATCATGGCTCCAGAAAGAGCTGGCATTGAAGCTGGTGTCTGAAACACAAAGGCAAATCTCAAAGGCCACAGAGCAACTTGAATAACTGGGGCTAGCCAACCTGGGGAGATAGTGAAAGGTGTAGGGTGACTATATTGATAATTTCATCTCCACAAATAACCAAAATCACTGAATTGTACACTTTAAACATTTCAATTACATGAATTTTATCTCAATAAAGCCATTTTTGAAAGCACGCATAGACAATTCTCACATCTTCTAGAATCTAGCCCAGCGAGTATCACTCCTCTCCCCCAGCCCCTCTATGTATGTCTTTACTACAATCCACCAGATCCAGCCCAGGTCCACAACCTGTGGCCCAGCCTAGTGTAGGTACCCACTGGTAGTGCAGGACCCAAGCTCTAGGTTTTCACTGTGTCTGCAATCCCATGCTTCTGCCTAATATAACCACCCTCACCCTTGCCAAAGTCAACCTCTAGGTTTCCCCCAGGACTTGCCCTACATGTAATCACCCACAGGTCCCTCCTGCACTACTTGCAATCATCCCACTTGGTATCCAGACCTCCCCAGGTCCTCCTCCAGGGTTTTGACTGGTGAGTCTCCTTGCTATCCCCAAATATACCTTTTCTACAACCTGCCAGATCTAGCCTGAGTCCAACATGCACCAGTCTAGTTTGGCCTCCCCTGCCTGTATCAAAAAGGACCTTTAGGCTTCAGCCAGAACCCTCCCTACCTATCCCCCAAACCACAGGATGCTCCCACACCATATCATACTGTCTACCCAGCCAGATCCAGGCCCACACTCCAGGCTTGGACCAGGAAGCATATCGTATATACCAGCCCAGTCCCCTCTCACTGCCTGACTTCATTTCATCCAAGACATATCCAATCTCTAGGCCCAAACCACCCATATATCCTCTAGTTTGCCCCAAACCTGCTCTTTCCATAACAGACTCAGAACTAACAAATCTCATCACAAAAACACGAATATGAAAGGTCAGGTCAATATCCTCTCTCCAAAACCTACAAGTCCTATAGAAATGTTCACCAATAGAGTTACCTGGATGACTTTCTGAATACAGAATTTAAAAGAACAATCATAAACTTCAAAGAATTCAAGGAGTTTGAAGACACAAAGAAATTAAAGAAAAAAGTTATTCTCCTGATCACAAATACAACTCAGCTGTTTAAAAAAAGGCACCATCTTAGAGCAAAAGGTTGACTAACAGTACCCCAATCAAATGGGACAGGAAGCAAGCATCAGGACAATCAGAAGAGACAAAGAGGGACACTTCATTCTAACCAAGGGAACAGCTAACCAAGATGACATTACTATCCTAAACATACATGTCTCAAACTCTGAGGTACCCAATTTCATTAAAAAATCTATTACTGGGTTTAGAGATACAGATTAACATTAATAATGAGTACTCCCTTTCAATACCACACTTTCTCCAATAGATGGGTCATCTGGACAAAAATTAAAGACAAAAATATATCAGGTATCTTCAAAATATTTCACCCAAATACCAAATACACAGCAACACATGGAAGCTTTTCTAAAATAGACCACATCCTGGGACACGAGACAAATCTTTATGAATCAAAAAGACTGAAATCACTCCTTGTATGATGTCTTACCACAATACAATACAAAACAAATTAAAACCAACAGTAAACAAAACTCTAGCAAATACACAAATTCATAGAGATTAAACAACTCATTCCCGAATGATGAACAGGTCAAAGAAGAACCCAAGAAAGAAATAAAAAAAAAAAAAAAAACTTCCTGGAACTAATGAAAATGTAAACACAATACAATAAAACCTCTGGGACATACTGAAAACAGTCCTATGAGGGAAACTTATAAATCTAAGTGCCTAGATTAAAAAATCAGAAAGAGTGCAACTCAAAAGTTGGAGAAACAAAAAAAATTCAAACCCAGTAGACAGCAAGAATAAAAACCAGAAATCAATGAAATAGAAACAAAGAAAACAATGCAAAGAAACTATGAATCTAAGAGCTGGAAAACGGAAAAGAAATTATTGAATTTCTAGATCGAAACAGACTACAAAAATTAAACCAAGAAGTCAAGAGCCTAAACAGACCCACAACAAACGAGTACAATGAAATAGTAATAAAAGCCTTCCTGTTTAAAAGAAAAAGTCCAAGGCCAGACAGAATCACAGCAGAATTCTAGACTTTCAAAGAATTACGGCTAATGTTTCTTTTTTCTTTTCTTTTCTTTTTTTGAAACAGGGTTTCTCTGTATTGTTTTGAAAGCCATTTCTGGAACTCGCTCTGTAGATGAAGCAGGTCTCGAACTCACAGAGATCCACCTGCCTATGCCTCCCGAGTGCTGGATTAAAGGTGTGCACATAAGGAAAGAAGATGTCAGACTATCCCCATTTGCAGATGATATGATACTACTATG